ACGCGGCGCATCGAGCTGCAAAAATTTTCTAACTTCAGCGATTTGAGCATCAAGCACGTCGAACGCTCAGATCGTTCAAATCGTTGAAATGGCGCTGCTCTAATTGCACTTGAGGCGCCGCAGCACTTCCCGACGCTGATTGAAGCGCGTCCACCATAGACTTTGTATGTAAACCTGATGCTCCTGATGCTGAAATCGCGTTTGGTGTGAACGCACCATTAGACAATGCGTTGGACTTAGCTGCAACCTTTGTATGCCTGTGTAGTTATGTGTATTTTTACTGTTTCTCTGTGACTTGATTGTTTCGAGTTGATCTCTGACCTGTTCAGTTGTCTTACTTACAGGTGGACATATCTAATGGGTTGGACTGGTCTCTGGACCAGAAAACCTTTTTCTACATTGACAGTTTGGCGCTGACCGTTGATGCTTTTGACTATGACTTGTGCACTGGACACCTGGGTAAGTATTGTAATCATGTACTAACACTGTAGAATGCCCACCTATACATGTATGTTTGAATTATGACTCATCATCAGCGTGAAGATGCCAACAGAACCACATCATTTGCTAAAATCAGACAAGATCCTGAGTTTCCTAGAACATTCACCCTCCTCTTTACGTCTGTGCATCGAAATCCTTTCCATCAACACCACAAACAGGATTGGAGACGAGGGATAGCCTTATCCAACCTGCACCGAGAACTTTGACTTCATTTTGTGCCAAGGATTAAGACCCATGTAGCTTTGGTGAGACAGGGACTGGATAGTCTTTGACAGTGACCATGGCTCCTCAAACTCCTGCAGCATCATTTAATAGAATGTCTCTATGAACACGATTATAGCCCTTCTCTAGATCCAAAAAACACATGTAGATTGGAAATTCAAACTCCCTTGACCCCCTTAGCAACTCTACAAGKGTAAAGATCTTGTCCACCGTTCCCTGACCAGGATAAATGTCATGTTTATTTTGAATCCAAGGTTCAACAATCAGATGGTGCCTCGTTTCCAACACCCAGGAGTAACCTTTCCTGGGGAGTCTGTGAAGTGTGAACCTTTGATAGGTGGAACACCACCTCTGGTTTCTCATTTTAAAAATGGAAACCACCACTCTGGTCCGCTACCCTGCAGGTGTTGTCCCAGTCTTCTATGCCAGGGGTTCTTAACTTTTTTGAACTCGGGGCCCAATTTGTTGAACATAAAGTGGCACGAGGCCCAGTCAGACTTTACCAATGTATGGATCAAAATGATAATTATTCTAAATCTAAATATTGGTTTAATTTTTATTGTATTTACATCATAA